CAAACTTTGTGAAGGGCAAACAAAGTGAATAAATAATTTTTGAGGACGACAAGATGTTTGCTTTTATACATGTTGGCAAAATAAAATCTCAAATTTCAAGGAATTTAGAGATAGAAAGAAAACAGATCATCTGCTAGTGTAGCCTATTCATTCTAGAAAGGAGGAAAATGAGACCCAGGAAAGTTTAGTGCCTTGCTCAGGGACATACTTCTTCTAAGTACAAAAACTCAGTTCAGGATTAGACAATGACCCCTTCCTGCTCACAGTCACGAACTTTTCCTATTTTTTTGCTAAAATCTATGGTCTTTAATGACTGTAGGGGCTGTGCCTTATTTAACGTGGCTCTTCAGGCTGGTTTCTAACTCCTACCAAATGACCTTTCCCTTCATGGGTCTGGTAAGAAGGTGGGGACAGATCCTGATAAGATTGGCCTGTGAACGTCCTGGATCCAGAGGACAGCTATGCCATCAGAGGAGCAGCAGCAGAACCAGGAGACAGAACATGGAGCAGAGTCATGGAGGTCCCAATGCACGGAGCAAGCAAAGCTGAGCGCTTTTGTGCAGGAGGTTGGCTCACTGGACTGGGGAAACGGAACTCGCTGCCCCACAGAGGAGGAGCTGAGTGCCTCGGGGCTGAGGCTTACTGGAGTGGAGTGCCTCAGGGCACAGGGAGCTGGGTTTGCTGAGCCCTGGATGCTTAAGGGTTGAGGCTTCCAGTAGAGTGGTCTTAGCCTCTGGATATTTATTAGCAGAACTGAAATCTTGTAACATGTCCTGGTACACAAATATCCTGAGCATTTCTCACCGGCATGACAACTTGTTAACTTAATATACTCTTTAATCATTAATTTTCTCTGCGTTTCTGTGTGTCATTAACAGTGGGTATTAGAACCCAACAGAGGTAAAATAAAACTTTCACTGCCACTGAGTCCTCGCTGACTCACGGCGACTCCCCTTGGGGGAGTAGAAAGCCCAGTCTTTTACCGAGGAGCTGTTGGTGGTTTCAAACTGCCGAACATGTGGATGGCAGCCCAATGCGTAACCACTACACCACCAGGGCTCGCCAGAGGTAAAATAGAGAATATTAATTAAGACATTACAATAACAGTTCGACTTCAGGAGGGGGAGTTAAGTTTGAACAATCTGTTTGCGAGTTTGCCAATAAGGTCACCCGGGCACAAAGTTAGCTAAGGTGACATCAGATATTTCTGTGTGGTTGGTAATTACTGTATAGACTTGAGTACAAGCCAAGTTCTTCAGCACATTTTTAATGCTGTTTTTGTGTAGGATTAGGTGCCTCGGCTGATATCCGTGTCAGCTTATACTCACGTATATATGGTAAGTGCTATCTACTCAATTCTGGCTCACGGAGACCCCACGTGTGTCAGAAGAGAATCTTCATAGGTTTCTAATGGCAGGTTTGGGGTGAGTCGATGTTCAGGCCTTTCTAACGAAAGCCTCTGGTGGACCTGAACTACCAACATTTTAGTTAGCAGCGAGGACACTGACCGCATGAAGTGGATCCCAACTCCGAGCAATCCTGTATGTGACACGAGGAGAGCTGCTCCTGGGATTTTCTGAGACCGTCTTCTTTCCAGAAGCAGGCGGCCTCCTCTTTCCTGTGTGTAGGAGCTAGAGGGTTTGAACCTCTCGCCTTGAAGTTAGCAGCCTCATCCTTAACACACTACGCCACCAGTCACACGGCACTACTTAAAATCCATGATAATGAAGACAAATGGTATACCTCACCTTGAACATTTTTACTTTTGTTGACAATCTCACAACATCCAAGACCTATGGAGGCAAAAAATCCCTACCACCCCCATCCGGAGCTTATACTGGCAACTCAAATGGTAATCAAAATAGAAAACGTATTAAGCACTGAAGTGCGCAGCAAAGGACCTGGGGTGTCTGGTGTGGTCCTGCGCGTTTCCAGTGGATATTTGGGAGACTACTGAGGAGAGGTCGAGTGGCTCCAAAGAGTCACACACTCAGAAAGTGAGGGAGAAGATAAGTGAAGGGGCAGGTAAGCCTCTGGTTCCGTGAAACAAACTGTATTCAAAATCAAGGAGAGGTGACTACGCCCTGCTGATTTTTTCTTAAGCCAATTAATTTCCTGTGATAAAGATCTGCAATAAATGTAATTACATCTTATTAGTGAGGGCCTTGATCAAAGTCTACCATTTCAAACTCCCATAAGACACAGAGTTTGGAAGTTTATTTAATCCACATGCTTATTACCTAAAAGAGTGTTATGTCTTCACCAAAATTCTGAAACCACCATTCCCAATTAATTTATGATTTGATTAACTCAAAGTTGTACATGTGTATAGAGCAGGCACGCCCCTTTAGAGAGTTACTGAGGTGAAATTCACCCAACATAAAATTAACCACTGTCAAGTAAGCAATTCCACAGCACTGTGTACACGCAGGTTGCGTAGTCCCCTCCTCTATCAAGTGCCAAAATGCATTAAGCTACTAATTGCTAGGTCAGCAGATTGAAACCACCAGCTATTCCACTGGAGAAACCTGGGGCTTTCTATTACTGCAAAGAGCAACAGTCCCAGAAACCCACAGGGATAGTTCTACCCTGCTCTCTGTGGTCGCCATAAGTCGGAATGGATGCGATGGCAGTAAGTTTGTTTGATTTTTGGTTTTGAGCTTGTTAGCAGTTTTCTCACCAAGTCCTCCACACATAGACTCCTCCTGTTGCTTTTACCGTATATTGGTTTGACTGATGATAGCTTTGTATCTGAGCCTCGCCCATCCCTCTCATGGGCCAGGATTGCTCTTTCCTTGGCAGAGCACATACAGCACACTCAGTAAACAGGAGATGCTTAATTTGCCTCTCTCACTACAATTTTCATCTTGGCCAGTCTTTCTATTTTGCTGCCAAGGAATCTTGGTGGTGTCATGGACCAAGCATTGAACTGTCACATGAAAGGTTGCCAGTTTGAACCCACCAGCTGCTCTACAGAAGATGAAGCAGTCTGCTTCTGTAAATGTTCACAGTCTCAGAAACCCCGTGGGGCAGTTCCACTCTGCCCTATAGGGCTGCTGTGAGCCTAATCAACATGACGGCAGTAGACGGGTTGTTCTCTGCCTACCCACTCTGTCTTAACCCCTGCTCTAATCACAGCACGTATATTTTATACAGTCAACATGAGAAAAATCTCATTATTCACATACCTGAACACGGTGACTTCAGACCTAAAGGATCACCATTTTGAATTAAGAGAAGATTTTCATTTTTGCTTTTCTAAAGAAAGTCAGGTTTTTGGGTCAAATTTTACTGCATGGAAAACACTGAAGGCAAAAGTCAGGATTTCTAACTTGGATGAAGACTTACTAGGTGCCTGTTAGGAACGTTTCTGAGTTTTGCTGCTTTGACAGACAAGCGCACACATTGCACACTCGGCAGATGTGATCAGAAACAAGCACTGGACCCTCGATTCCAAACACACTGCTTCCGGCCTGGCTTTGTTTCACTCGGTCAGAAGAGCTTCTCACAAAGTAAGATGCTGGGGTTTTGTTTCCATTTGTGGAAGGTGTGCTCCCAAGACATAATTACGGTTTTCTGTGGAACTACAATCTAGTTTACCTGGGTCTTCTGCCATAAGGTTTGATCACGAAATCCCATTAAAATGATAAATTAATTTCTTGATCAAGGAAATAAGTAAAGACTATATAATTCTCTTAACTCACTGCATTGGAATCAAATCTGAATCCTACCAGTCTCTCCCTGGGGCTTTCCAAGGCTGGAAATCTTTCCAAGAGCAGAAAATCTCATCGTTCTCCCAAGGAACAGCTGGTGGACTTGAACCACTGACCTTGTGGTAAGCAGCCCTCTGCATAAAGCACTATGCCATCAGGGCTTCTAAAATATTATAAAGTAGTAACAGTTACTCTCTTCTGAGAAATTACCCTATGCTTAGAAAATTTAAAATCTTGGGGAAAAAATGAGTCATGTTCCAAGTTGCAATGATCTAGACTTGTACAAATATTTCTTTCTTAAATGAGTACAGAAGGAGCCATCATGGCATAATAGTTACACCTGGCAGTCTGAGTCTACCTCGCTGCTGCAAGGAAGAAAGGTGTGGTGGTCTGCTGCTAGAAAGATAACAGCCTAGCAATACTAAGAGGCAGTTGGACTCTGTCACCTGGAGTCACTAGGAGTCACAATATAACTCGCCGGCACATAACAGCAGTAGTGTAGATAACCAGCAGCTGAATGAAGAGTTGACATTTGATTCTAAATAAAGATTGATGATGATGATGACATCGGCCTCCCTGGTACCTACTTTTGAGCTTGCTGACTGTGTTGGACACTTCTGATCTTCTCCCGTGGGTATAGTAGTGGTTTCTATCTCTTACACCACTCCCTTCCCCAAACACTCTACCCCTCTGATGTAGGCTATGACTTATGACCAAAGCCGCGGTGAATAATGCCTCGGCATAGCAGAAGCGACCTAGGAAAACTAACAGTCCATGCCGAAGGAAAATCTGCTAAGCACAGACCAGGGATGCCTTTGATGAGGTAGCCAGCTACTCAAAAGCTCAGGGAAATCAGGGCTTCTAAAAAAGGAGTAGGGGCAGTGTCCAGGGGCAGAAATGAGGATGATACCAAAACTGCATATGAAAGAGCACCCCCTCCCCTACAGCATGTGACCCTCAGCCAACATCTATTCTATACCTCTCCTGAATGCATCCAGAGACCGATTCAAGCAAAGGAACAGCTGAGTCCCTCTACAAAGGGCAAGATGTGGCTAGAAAGATTTTCACTTCCTCTGGAATTACAATGGAGGTTGAGACTGACATGTCTAACTAACGATTCTAGAATCCACTTAGCATCTCAAGGAAAAATCCTTCCTGAGAAGGTTACTGATTCTGCTTTAATCCTTATACTAAACATTAACTATGGGGATGCTCTCCACATCTACCTTCACAGCTTAATTACGACTGCTTTTGAGGTTGTGTGCTTTAATGAATGCAGCCAGGTACCTTCGGATGGCCACAGTGAGAGCCTCTGGTGAGCTGGCACAAGGACAAATGACCTCCTGCCGTAGGCCTTTACTTTGGAAGACGTTGAGAAATGCATCACAAGAAGAAATAGACCCTAAAGGGAAAAAGTCAGACATGGAAAACCAATTAAACAGATGAAGCAATGCAATTAAAAAAAAATCAGTAATATAAAATAATTTTAAACACAGAAGCTATCAGTTTTAAAGGCATGCTATTAGTTGCTGCCAGGCAACTTCATTAAATTATAATTTATCACTTATATCACCTTGAAACATACATCATTTAATGTCAATTATCCCTTACATTATCATGACACGTGACAGTATTCTCCAACTTGCAGGAAAACTAAATAATTTTTTAAAAATAAAACCTTTAAACCTAAAATAATTTTGTGGATTGATCAACTTAATTTTAATAACTTTTCCTGAGGTTTGTTCTATCATTTACACGGGGCATGTTCCGAGAGAAAGGCAAACCTACAGTACATGGAGTAGACTATTCTCTTTGTCAGCTTGAACGAGGCAGTTCAAGCAATCTTCCCAACTATTTCCAAATGCAAGCGTACGTTGCTTTGTGTAAGGCTGTAGTTACAATGTTATGTTGAAATAGCTCACGATTTATGGAGCTATTTTATAAATGGAAGAGCCATCTTTAAAACGATTCTTCCATCAAAATGCTGATTTATCTATTTGCAAGTCAGCTTTTGCACACCAGGCTTTTGGAAAGCATAAGCTGCTTTGCTATGCAAATACCAACGTTGCACAATTTGCAAATGCGGTCAGAAACAAAGGCTCTATGTTCGATTTAAAACATGTTGCTTCAGGCTTGGCTTGGCTTTTACTCTTGGTGAGAAGAGTTTCTCACAAAACAAGCTAGCAGGGTTGTTGGTGCAATTTATGGAAAGATTTCTCAAGGAGCAATGACTGTATTCTATCTTGGTGTTTTGCTCTGAGATTTGATAGCAAAGTCCCATTAAAAAGGACAAATTAATTTCTTGATCAAGTAAACTAGCAAAGCTGATTAACTCCTGAGTATTTATTCTGTGCCAAGGAACTGTGCATAGAGATTACTTTATTCAATTCTCATAAACCCACAGTTTGGGTATCATCTCATTGCTTAGGAAGTAGAGGATTAAAATAAGTAACTTTCTCTACAGAATCAGGAAGTAGAAGAACCAGCACTTAACCTCAGGGCTGTGTATCACCAAACTTCAAGTTCTTAACAATTATGTTCTTAACTGTGCACCCCCAGGCTATAGAAAACGGTTTGCTCATTATTTTAAGAACTCATTTCTAAAAAATACAAAAAGAAAACTGAGGCACAGAGAATGAAACAGAACTTATAAAATGCCTGCTTAAAAAAAAAAAAAACAGACCAAAAACTTATTTGTGAAGTTAGGTGGATGTTTGTCTGTCTCTCAAGTTAGTAACATAAACCAGAAACACCACTTACAGGGATTTGCACCATCAGCCACTATTAACATGCGGAGAGAGGAGAGATTGATATCTCGCTGATCTCTGTGCGCGACTAATGCCCAGTGCATGTCCCTTGATTTGACACACGCCACTTTTGCTAAGAAGAAAAGCAGAAAGAAGTTAACAAGTGCCCCTATCAGATTCTGAAAAAGAGAATGAATGATTTGCAAGGGAATAATAATAATAGTGATAATTATAATTCCAGCTGCACATAATACACAGATCACTGCAAAGTAACCAAGAGGAGCCCCCCACCCCCCACCCCAGTGTGAGCACCTCACCTTTGTACTGGCAGACCTTCTGGATCCAGGACAGAGGGTTCACCTTCATTAAAGAGTACGGGATGCTGATTACATGCATCATGTTCATAACGCTCTGAAATAAAACACACACACAGCTGTCAATGGGGCACCTACCAAACAAAACAGAAACAAGCCCACTGCCATTGAGTCGATCCCGACTCCGACCGACGGAGCAGAATTGCTGACACTACATCTTTATGGAAGGAGACACTGTCATCTTTCTCCCAAAGAGCAACTTGTGCGTTTGAACCATGGACCTTCAGGCTCGTAGCCCCACACTTAGCACGAGGGATCCTAGATGTCAGCATGTTGCCTGAAATCACAAAGAGAACAGGAAGAGGCTATCTCCTATACAATGTGGGCAATTCATCTAGCCGCGGCGCAGGAGGCAGAAGAAAACACACGCGAGGTTTCAACCTAGTGCTTCATTCCGGTAAGAAACACCTCACGGTGCTTAGTTGCCATCAAGTCAGATCCTTCTGCGCAACACAAAGAAACGCTGCCCAGTCCTCGGCCATCCTCACGACGGCAGGGACAGCAGTCTTCTTGTGCCGCCTGCATGAACCACCTCACTGAGGGTTTTCCTCACTTCCCCTCACCCTCTACTTTATTTGCCCTTTTCTCACAATTATTCTTTTCTGCTGCAAGAGGTTTGAAGTCATGGAGGGGGCTTATTACACCCCCAAGTGCTCTGAGGGTGAGTGGACGGCTGGGACTTAGAGGAGGCTCAATCCTCTCAGCAC